CGCGCGAGAGAGAGAGAGAGAGAGAGAGAGAGAGAGAGAGAGAGAGGGTGAGAGAGGGAGAGAGAGAGGGTGAGAGGGGTGGTGGTGGGGGGGGGGCAGACAGAAAATACATCATTTTTAATGCTAAGAATGATTAATTTATACAATCATCGTATATTTACGTAAATATATATAATTATTTTGCGATATTGTTCATTTTACTTAAAGTTACTCGATACTTACTTACGGCAAACTAAGCTAAAGATCAAGCCAAGCAATAACTTCTTTTCTTTCGCGCAGATACAATATTTATCATTATAAATGAGTCGAGTTAATTGCGGAATAGTGAAATTTGAAATAAATTCCCGAATGAACGATCTCCCATTATTTCTGATTATTCAACGTCAGCTACGTGTGAAGTAATAAGCTTCACGAGGCGCTCCAATATGCATGCACACAGAGGCGCACGTACGCGTCGCGCGCGCAAATTCCTTCTTCAAACATTTTCTTAAGCTACGCGAGAAAAATATAATCACAAAGCGCTCATCTTATAGTGCACATAAATAAATACACGTCATGCGTATAAAAAAAAAAGTGCCGTGTTTATTGTCGTAGTGCGGACGGCATTTTAAAGATTACCTTAAACCGCGAGGATTCGCAGAAAATTCGAAGCTAACTCATCATTGTCAGCGAGCAATTCCTACTACCAACAGCCCGCTCACTCTTGACAATTCCTCGGGCAATTTACGATCTATCTATAGTCTCTCCTCCACCACCTCCGCCACTCCCACCCCCACCCCTTACAACCCACCACCCAATTCCCTCCATCCGTCCGTCTTTCGGATGCTCATCGCCGATGGCGATATGCCCAACCATCGCATCATGTCAAAATATTTCGATAGAGGATGATAATGTATGCGCGCAAGATTCGTAGAACCTCGAGCTCGCAATGGCCTTATACTCGCGGTCGGCCCTCTAATGCGCAGCAGAGCGAAATTTTTCAGGCTGCTAAGTAACGCAGAAAGAAGCGCCGCGGTCGCCTCTTCCACGGCAGTTCGACCGAGTCGCTTACCGTTAGCAGACCAACCAGCTACGACCAGCCTATCATCCCCAGCCTCGTTTACGAGATTTAATTACGATCAACGGATGGGTGCGTCCCACGGATATTTTTTCGCGCTATTGACGGCCGACGAAGCCGGCCGTCGTCGACGCCGGCAGCATTCCGCGGTTACGTCGCGACGCTCGCGTTTATGAAGTGACTTGATTCGAATGAACGAACGAGCCCTTGGAGCGCGAGTTTGAAATGTTTCTCGGTCGGCGATTCCGTGTACGTCCATTACGAGTAGAGGACGCATGGGAGGCAAGTTGCTGCTTCGGCAGCGCCCCGTCTCCCCAGCCCTTATACACGGGGAGGGCCAAAATTTAATGGGATGGATGGATGGATGGGGAGGTTAGATCGTGGTGGCGGTGGGGCAGGGGACAGGGGATATGTCCTTCGATTGACCGGGCACTTACGTTATTATTATTAATGGCGAATGGCGAATGGCGAATGGCGAATGGCGAATGGCGAATGGCGAATGGGGAATGGCGAATGGCCTGCGGCTGATAAATAACACGTCGGGGTTCACGCGTTACTCCTACTAGCCCTGTTCTCCCGACGGCATAATACTTTAACGTATAGTACATCGCGATAGATGTTATTGGAATGGTTTTTAAATGCTAATGATATTCGCTTCGGAGCGTATGCTAAGGGCCAATAATAAATACCGTAAGCTCGTGACGAACGACCATCCTCCAATATTATTGAAGTTGCATAGCAACTTGGCCCGATAAGTTCGTAAATAATCGGGCGCGCGTTGCTAAGGCGGCTCGATAAGTTCATAAATAATGGAACGATGCGGCACCGTTACGACGACGCCATTGGTATTTTCGATTATAATGCCCGTCGAGTGTGATTGGGCAGTGGTACGCGGATTTGAATCGCCCTGACATCTCTATACGGAAGAGGATCGACTCGCCTCGCTGACTGAGCGTTAAACTTTCGAGAAATTAATTGTCACCGGAAGCCATAATTGATTTTTCTTAAACGACTTAAAATAAATTCGCACCTTAACTCCCGATGATTTACAAGCGGTTTAGCGATTTTCGACGTGGCCGAATGAGCACGAGTGACGCTAAACCTTCCCGGTCACCCCGTCCTACCAATCCTATGAAAATAATCGATAATCTTATGATAATCAACCGTTCGCGAGATTGGAGTTTTGAAAGTAGTTGCAGCCCCGAGATTATTATTGTTATAACTATTATTATTATTATTATTATTATTATTATAACTATTATTATTACTATTACTGTTACTATTATTATTACTATTACTATTACTATTACTATTATTATTATTATTATCATTACTATTATCATTATCATTATCATTATCATTATCATTACTATTATCATTATCATTATCATTATCATTATCATTATCATTATCATTATTATTAGTGATATTTTTATGCTTTTCATTGCAATTATAAAATAATATTTATTCAAATGATAAAAGGACTTGGCACCTGCAGCACCTGAAGTTTTGATAAATTGTTGGATTTTATATTTATTAATTACTCAATTGCAATCCTAAATGAAGTTGATCTTGGCAAAATGTCTACAAAGCGCATTATGAAGAGGGTATCGCGGTTAATTTAATGAACGTAAATCCTTAAGTCTTCGAGAGTCGTATTAATGTTGTATATTAATATACGACCTCGTATATTAATATACTACGGCATATCCAATAATAACGTCACCTAAAAATAACTAATCATGACAAAAGCAAATAAAACACACACACGCACGCACGCACGCATAGAACGACATTGAATGGGAAAATATTGCAACTGCTAGATTCTGCTTATTTCCGTAATTCTCGCCTGGCGTCGAATCAATGCTTTAAAAACAAAAAAAACAAAAAAGAAAAAACAAATAAATAATTCCAAAAGACCACTTGGATTGCAAAAATCTTAAGAAACGAATGGGAGCGAAGAATCCTAATGCGGCAAGATATCGGGAACATTAACCTGTAACCGCACGTATAATTCGTATAAATCGACAAAATTAAACATCATTTCTAACAATGGAAGTTAATAAAGCCAATTGTTAATGTTCTTCTTATTGAAATTCATATTCTGCACATGACGCATACGTCAAACATAATTTTTCTCGCTCGTCTTACCATAAATTAACGTTATGCTACGAGAAAGAGAGAAAAAAAAATAAGATAAAAGTAAGGCGGCGAGGAGCCAAGTGCCTATCGCCCACGAGGAAAAACAAAAAGAGAAAAAATTTAAGTTCTTGTTGGCCGTGGCTGCTGCCATCGTCATCGCGAACTCCGAAATTAGCGTTAACGATTGCTTTTCAAAGATGACACGGTATATAATCGTAAAATCACACCGCCGATAAGGACTTATGCGATGCTTTATATTGGACATTCTAACTTATCCACGACTTGGCCTTTACTCTACACTATCTGGGATGTCCACTCTATACTCCTCGCGCACCGAGCACCGCGCGCAAACTCCGTCATTTTCTATCGCGTCCGTTATCCTCGGGTAAAAAAACGCACCTGCACGTGCCGTACGGACGATTGTGCCCGTGGCTCGACAATGCCCGGCTGGCTCCACCTTATCAGCGCACGTTTCCCCGGCTCTCGATGCACATGCACTCCAACACCTCCTCATCTCCAAGCTGTCCGAGCCTCGACTAAGTCAACTATCGGCTTTGCAAATTAATCGCCGCGCGCTTCCGATCTGCCGGTCGTAAATCCGTCGTAACTGTCAAAATTGCATTATGGATAAACGACAGGTTGGAAATAGCGTATCGTGCAAGGATCGGGATCTCGCGATATACCTTCTCTGAGTACTTTTTGATTCAGGAGCTTTCCATCCCCGCGACTTCGCTATTTTATCACTTTGATTTATGCGGATTTTGAAATAGTCACGACGGACCATTTCGAATGCCCGTATCGCATTCTTATATTATACAATAAATTGCCGCTACTCTCCTTTAATGATAATGGACGGGAGCGCGGGGCACGCCGCTTTCAAAAATAATTCAATACCTCGTAAAAAGGGAATGTGCCGATGAAGCGAACTTAACAATCTCGGGCTTGGGAGTACAGTTGGGAGGTACGATTGAACGTCAAGTTTTAATGGCGTGCAGGCATTTGCCGGCGATGGCAAAGCTGGCTTTCGTGGAAAAAAAAGTGCCACTGGCGCGGAAGAAAATCGGGAGAATACCAAGTGGGAAGGAGTAAAGGAGCGACGGCCTTAAAGCTCGTTAATTCAAGGGCGTTAAGGAAGCGCGAGCAGCACTCAAGTCGAATCACCGAAATCGAAGCTACGCGAAGCCCGTTTATTTTACTTCCTTTAAGGAATTTTCAGTGATAATTTTGATAATCGATAACGATAGGCTGATGATTTTATTCGTTAAAACGCGCACGCATAAGAATGTCCATGTTTCATGTTCCATGGTCGTATAAACGCGCGTAGACCGGGCCTTCGTCATCCTAGATAATCGCGACGTCGCGACGTCGATAATCGCGATTCGGCAAAGAAGACAAATGAAAAATGAGAAAACGGGAACGAAGGGAGCCCGAGCAAACCAGCGCATCGAGCGGCCTTTGAACGGGGCTGGCCGCGTATGAGTAATGAGGCGTCCGATAACCTTAATCGATGACGACGGGGATTGCGTGCTATGGGGAGGGAGAGCCAGCCGAGCGCCTGGGAACGATTCCGTAGTGCGCGTCTTGGGAGTCGAGCGGACGGACGACCTCGGCCACTAAAATTATCGTAATAACACGGGAGGAAGGGAGGACGGGAGGGGTTGGGGGTTTGACGGTCGGAGGAGCGGGTGTGGGGTGGTGGTGGTGGTGGGGGGGGGGCGAGGTTTGGTTGTTTTGTTGGTGGTGGTGTGGTCCGTACTTTCGGATCGTCTGTGCGCCCCGCCCGCCGCCTCAATCCACTTTGTCGTCGCGTCTTTCACAGCATGACCGCGGGCCGGTGTCTATGACCGAATGGCCCTTACGCGGTGATCGCCACAGGCGTTTGCGTAAAGACTGGATCGCGCTACCGCGCGCAATCACGTAACCGCTATTGGGATTTCGACGACGGAGGATCGGGAGGAGGCCGAGAGTGGCCGCTCGTTGCACCTCGGGCGCCGCTTCCATCTTTAAGTGGCGTTCGCGCAAGCCACCGTGAAATCACGGCTCGGGTGTCGTACTCGAAATCAGGACTCGCCGATGCTGCATTCCCGCGCTCATGCCCTTCGCTTTTCGTTCACCACTCACCCTCGCCCCACCCCACCCGCTTCTATCAATCAATCAATCTATCTATATTTATCTCACTCGCACAATAATTCGTTGCTCGCATCGACACTGGCCGCTGTGACGCCGCCGCAGTCCGGAACTTATTTTGCGACAATCTCTTCTCCCTACATTCTGCTGGAAGGAAGGGGTAATGTAAAAACGGCTTTTTCTTATTCGTCCCGTTTTCATTGGATAAATATTGAAAGTTGAGAAGCTTAAGGTGGATTGTGCGTTTATCCCGGCCATTGACGTTGACTCATTTATTACCAATGTTATGCAATTTCTAGCTTCACGAGACAGCACATTCGAATAAAAGAGTCGGAATAGAGTTTATCTGAAATACAGTAAATTGAATGATAGCGTCAACGATATTGTAAAACAATTTATAATAAATAAATTAAGGGGTATTTACAAATTTATCGATATTGTATTTGGTATAATATATAATAAATGAGTTAACAATATAGAGCAGCGTTACGTATGACTTTTAAGCGATGTATGGCAATGAAAGTGTGAGACGCCGAGGAAATGTGGGCTATCGTACCCGACTACACAACACTCAAACTCTACTGGATGATTATGTGGGGCGTCACAATGGGGCGAGCTAGGCTCCATTGTTTGAGGATAAATTTGGGGGCTGGTAAGCTGGTAAGGTTTCGACGAGGGGGAAAACAGATGGGAAACATCCGACAGGTGCACGACACGAAGACTATAGTGCACTTTCTAAACAAGAGTCGGTATTATTTCCGCTCTAAATTAACAAAGTCTTCCTCGATTAATAATTATGCCCCTGGGCAAAAATGTTTATCGTCGAATTGACTGACATTCATTGATTTATTTTACACTCTTATTGAGCCACGTCGATTTATATGGAACCTGCTTGTGTGCACTTGTTCGTCTGGACCAATTAGAAAATAAATTTTATGATAATGCGTGTATTGAAGATATTATTTTCACGGGTACTCGCACGATTTCACGGTAACATGCGTCAAAGGCTTTTAAAAATAATATATTGTTTCTATTTATTTAATAATAATAACAACGTGAACGGCAACAACAATAAATCTAATTTAAGATTTATTTCAGGATTTTTAGCAACAATTTGTCACATTCGGGGCAAAAATTTTTTATGTAATTTAAAAATTAATTTCTTCAAATAAACGCGTAAAACTTGCTTTTAATTATCAATCACATTTTTCAATGTTACCCGATGCTAATCAAGTTCATATGCTAAATAATATTATTGCTTAAACGAGTTTTACATATTATTGCATTCAATAGTGTGTAATATGAGACAGAGTGTAATAATAATATTTCCATGCTACATTTTATAAAATTATTATTTATAGTCTAATATTTGGTAGCCGAAACCCGTCCTCTGTATGGTGTAAAAATAAAATAGAAACCTATAAAAATGATTTAATTACGTTTTAATATAACTCCACGTATGTGTTTATTAATATTAATATATTTGAAAATCATTCGAATTAAATTGACAAGTAATTGTCAAGGTAGATAAATTGTTAATCGTTTGCATTCTATTTAAACGTTAAATTTCAAATGAGAGTTAAGCTCTGATTACAACATAATGAATTAATATTTAGAAACATTGAAATATTACCATTAAACAATTATATGACCGGCTGTAAAAGCATTGCTTAGACATTATTGTCTAGTGTAAAAAAGAACTAATGTTTTGGAATTTAGAATTTATTCAAATTCGAATAAAATCGAATAAATATTTTCACCACCGGCCTCAACTATTACCGTTAAACATCTTTCGTATTCCAATAATCAGTCATTTTCTAATATATACGCTTGGCTTTAGAGTAAAAATTTACAATAATAATTACAATTATTTAGATATTCACTTAATGGAATATATATATATAATGCATTTATTATATGCTGAATATATATATCAATCGGATCAACTTAAATCCATAAAGAAATAGCTTAAAGATGCATTTTAAACATTAACGGTAAAGTCCGACAAACAATTATAACACGTACTATAGAATTTGGAAATTATATTAAATGCATAGTGTAAGACAAATTGTAGAAGCGAACAATTTTACTTTACGTTTAATAATCGTAATATCGTGTTTTATTATAGAATTTCGTATATTAGATGATTAGTATAATATTTTTGGTGGTCGTTATATTCAGTAAAAATAACATGTAGAGCAATAATTTTTTATTTAATGGTCGGGAACTTTTATGATGATTTAAAGATGAAAATTTACTTGAACAAAAGAAGAAGAAAAAAAAATATAAATAAAACGTAGAAAGATCAAAGAGAATATACTAGTGTATATATATATATATATATATATATATATATATATGTATATATTCTATAACATTGCGCTTGTAATCGATCGATAGTAAGATAAGTTGAATTGAATTCTCGATAATCACTCAAATCCCATATTCATATTTATAGAAATACGTTTTACGATTATATCCTAAAACTTACGCGACGATTTCAAATGTTTAATTACCATGCTTTATATGTTTTAATAATAGGATAATGATAAAAAGAGTTTTAATTAAAGATACAAACATTGGCGGAAACGAATATTGGATGGAAAAGGAAAAGTCGGGCAGTAAGGTTATACTTAAAAGTTGTTTCATAAACTGTCTATTCGCGTTAAATTTTAAATTTTAAATTTTAAATTCAATACACGCGGGCAATAGATTTCGGTGGCCGGCATTTTTCTAACTGCAGCATTACGTAACGTGTGCGAGTGTAACGTTCAAGCACTCGTAACGCCTTTGCCTTTCACGTGCACGATATTAAAGTAAATAAGGTTTATTCGTCTCACAGGCGTAAGAGACGAGAGCGTTCGCGCTAGCGAGTGAAATGAAGGGGAGCACGTTAGATAATTCATGTCCTCGGTATCGCGAAACGCTAAGCTAAAACACAAATCCGCCGGAT